TCTGTAAAATGGGAATGATAACACAGGTTGATCATCCCTAATCCAAAAATCCAAAGTGCTCCAAAATCCAAAAGCTTTTGAGTACTTACTTGATACTGAAAGGAAATGCTCATTGGAGCATTTAGGATTTCAGATTTTCAAATTAGGGATGCTCAACCAGTTATCTGCAAATATTCCAAAATCCAAAATATTTCAAAATCCAAAACACTTCTGGTCTCAAGTATTTTGGATAAGGGATACTCAACCTGTAGTGCCTATCTGTTGGTTGTTATAAGGAGTCATTGGCTTAGTACGTGTAAAGCACTTAAAATAATGCCTGGTATATAATAATTCACTAAAGGGTTGTGCTGTTGCTATACTCCCAATTTCACTGTCTCTTTCTGATCCTCAAACAAGTCTTCATCATACACCCACTGTTTGCTCCACCTGGAATGCTTATCTACCCAGATGATGGCAATCCTGTTTCTTTTTATTATTTAGGTCCCAAATCAAATGTCTACATAGGAGAGGCTTCCCTGACCACATCACATTACTCTGCTTTATGTTTTTTACAGTACTCCTCACTACCTGAAAAATTCTCACATGTTTTACTTATTTTGTGTCTACCTCCAGTCCCTAGACTTAACATCAGGCACCTAAAACAATACCAATAAGTACTAGGTGGTAAAAGTGTTTTTGAATAAGTACATGAGACTTACTCCCTCTGAATCTGAATGCCTTTCTTTCCTTTCAGGCAAGCTGGAAAAGAAAAAAAAAAAAACAGTTTCAGAGACTGGTTGTGATTTTAGCTAGACATTTTCCCCCTTTCTGTCCACCCAGCTGGTCCTCCTTAGAGAAGGTGGACTCTCTAGATATTATTATAGACTGCCTACAGACACCTATTTTCATTTTATAGTTTCACCACAATTGTTCTCTGGGTTTTTGTTCCAGGGACATTCCTGCCCCTTGCTGGTGTCTTGCTGAGATTGCAGGATATAGACGAATTATATTTATTCACCATGTTGCCCCTAGCTTAACCCTTCCAGTTCATTTAACTTATCAGTTTTATCGTGTGTGTTTTCTTTTTTCTTTTTTTTTGTCCTTTTTGAGACTGGCCGCACTTCACTCAGCCAGTGAGCGCACCGGCCATCCCTATATAGGATCCGAACCCTCGGCGGGAGTGCTGCTGCGCTCCCAGTGCGCCGCACTCTCCCGAGCGCGCCACAGGCTCGGCCCAACTTATCAGTTTTAATCACTCCCTTACACGAGCCTCTCTATAGTTGGAGCATATCAGAATAAATCAGAAATTTATTAGAGGAAATAGGTGTGTAAAAAAGCATAAGGGAAGCTTCTCTTAACCAATTTAATTGCTATTACTAGTTTTTCTGACATCATGCAACTGTTTCAGTCACCAAAAGCACCTTCTTCTTCAAAACTGAAAATGTTAAAAATAGTGTGGTACTGGCATAAGACAGACCAATAGGCCAATGAACAAAATAGAGAGCCTAGAAATAAACCCTCACATTAATGGTCAAATGATTTTTTGCAAGGGTGCCAAGACCATTCAGTGGAGAAAGGACAGCCTTTTCAACAAACAGTGCTGGGAAAACTGGATATCCACATGAAAAAGAATGAAGTTTGACCCTTAGCTTATACCACATACAAATATCAACTCAAAATGGGTCAGAGACCTAAACATAGAGCTAAAATTATAAAACTCTTAGAGGCCGGCCTGTGGCTCACTCGGTAGAGTGCGGTGCTGATAACACCAAAGCCACGGGTTCCGATCCTATATAGCGATGGCCGGTTTGCTCACTGGGTGAGCGTGGTGCTGACAACACCAGGTCAAGGGTTGAGATCCCCTTACCGGTCATCTTTTAAAAAATAAAATAAAATAAAACTCTTAGAAGAAGACATAGGCAGGAAACTTTACAACATTGAGTTTGGCAGTGATTTCTCAGGTATGACACCAAAAGCTCAGGAAACAAAAAAAAAATAGATAAATTGGACTACGTCAAAATTTAAAACTTTTGCACATTAAAGGACACTATCAGCGTGAAAAGGCAAACCACAAAATGGGAGAAAATATATGCAAACCATTTACCTGATAAAGGGTTATTTGTCCTTATACATAAAATACTTTTACAACACAGAAACAAACAAACAAAAAACCCTGATTTTAAAATGGGTAAAGGACTTAAATAGACATTTCTCCAGAGAAGATGTATAAATGGCCAAGAAGCACGTGATTCTCAACATCACAGATTATTAGGGAAATGCAAATCAAAACCATGACAGCATACCAGTTCATACCCATTAGGAAGCATATTAAAAAAAACAAAACAAAACCAAAAAACCAGGAAATAGCAAATGTTGACAATGATGTAGAGAAATTGGAACCCTTGTGTACTGCTGGTGGGAATTTAAAATGGTGCAACTATTATGGAAAACAGTATAGCAGTTCCTCAGAAAATTAAGCAGAATTATCATATGATTCAACACTTCCACATTTGGGTATATAACCAAAAGAATTGAAAGCAGAGACTCAAACAGGTATTTCTACACCCATGTTCATAGGAGCATAACTCACAATAGCCAAAAGGTAGAGCAACCTGTGTCCATCAATGGGTGTACAAAATATGGTATATACATACAATGGAATATTATTCAATGGAAGGAAATTCTGACACATGGCTAAAACATGGATGAACGTCAGAGACATATGCTAAGTGAAATAAGCAAATCACAAAATGACAAATACTGAATGATTCTTATATGAAAAGGACACAAAAAGATAAATGCTTATGAGGTGTACCTAGAGTAGTCAAATTCAGGAAAAGTAGAATGGTGGTTTCCAGAGGCTGGGGGAGGGAGAACATGGGAAATTATTATATAATGGGTACAGAGTTTCAGTTTGGGAAGATGAAAAAAGTTTCGGAGATGAATGGTGGTGATGGTTGCATAACAGTGTGAATGTACTTAATGCCACAAAACTGTACACTTAAAATGGTTAAAATGGTAAATTAATTTACCACAATAAAAAAAAAATTTTTTTTTTTGTCTTTTTTCGTGTCCGGCAACGGGATCGCAACCCTCGGTGTCATGCCCGTACCGGACCGGGACCGGCAACGGGATCGCAACCCTCGGTGTCATGCCCGTACCGGACCGGGACCGGCAACGGGATCGCAACCCTCGGTGTCATGCCCGCACCTTGCTCAGCCAGCGAGCGGGAACCGGTCTGCATGTGGGATCCAAACCCTCGGCGGGAGCGCCGCCACGCTCCCAAGCGGCGCACTGTATCAGTGCGCCACCGGGCCGGCCCCCAAATTTTTTTTTTTTTTTGTCTTTTTGTCTTTTTTCCGTGTCCGGCAACGGATCGCAACCCTCAGTGTTGCCCCCGTACCGGACCGGGGACCGGCAACGGGATCGCAAGCCTCGGCGTTGCTCCCGCGCCTTGCTCAGCCAGTGAGCGGGAGCCGGTCTGTATGTGGGATCCGAACCCTCGGACGGGAGCGCCGCCGCGCTTCCCAAGCGGCGCACTATCCAGTGCGCCACCGGGCCGGCCCCCAAATTTTTTTTTTTAAGATGACTAGTAAGCGGATCCTAATAACCCTTGACTTGGTATTGTCAGCACCACGCTAACCCATTGAGCTAACCAGCCATCCCTATATATGAGCCGAACCCGTGGCCTTGGTGTTACCATCACCACACTCTCCCGAGTGAGCCACGGGCCTGCCCTATTAAAAAAGTTTTTTAAAACCTGAAAATATTTACAAAATGCACACAGTGTTGTCTGATGTAGTTATTAATTCAGCTTTATTCCAGGTTCCAAAATGTGATTGATAACCTCTACTTACTAAACAACAAAATTTTGTTCTTTAAGTTTTTTACACCTAAAGTAACTATGGAATAGAAAATCTAGCCTTCCTTCTCTAAACTAATGCTTCCTGACCTCCATTTTGTAACACTCCAGGTATATCGAGTTATCTCAAGGAATGTCATAAAATTCTTAAAGCAAAACTAACTTTAATTTACTTAAATCTTTAAAGCCTGTGCTATATTGTACTTTTTCCCACTTGCAGAAGCTTACCTTGTCGTTCAGATCATGACGACCTTTTAAGAGTGAAGAGGGCTTAAGTATAAGTGGCCCGTTCACTTTATTCCCAGAATTCTCTGACCTATTTGTACAGGTAGTGTATGGTATGGTTTATCAGGCTTTGCGCAAATAGGTTATTGGTCTACTTCAAAGTAAGTATTTACATAGCCTCTGTAAGGCTGAGAAAAATTCTAGGCATTAAATATTTCCTAATATTGATATGGTAAAAGAGTTTTATAATTTACTAAATTAGAATTAAATATATAGAGATTTAACTTTTTATACTTGCTATTTTTTAGGTTTTATTAAATTATCCTTTTTCCTTCATAACTGCAAAATTCTTTTTTTTTTTTTCCTTTTTGTCTTTTTTTGTGTCCGGCAACGGACCGCAACCCTCAGTGTCGCGCCCGTACCGGACCGGGACCGGGACCGGCAACGGTATCGCAACCCTCGGTGCTGCGCCCGCCCCTCGCTCAGCCAGTGAGCGGGAACCGGTCTGTATGTGGGATCCGAATCCTCGGCGGGAGCGCCTCTGCGCTCCCAAGCGGCGCACTGTAGCAGTGCGCCACCAGGCCGGCCCTATAACTGCAAAATTCTTTATAAAGATATCCCTCTTCTAGCCTATTCTTTTGTTAGAGGTGGGAAAATTGTTTTAAGAAATTGTATATCATCCTTTGATAAACATAATTAAACTAGTATGCCACTTATTTGTACATTACAAAGTAAAAGATCATTCTCTCACACTGTGTTTTATGTAGCAGTATTATCTTTGTAAATTACTCAAGCTTTTTGTGTGTTTGTTTGAAAGAACTTCTGCCCTTGCGTTTATGTTTGTGTATATACGTAGTCAACTATTTATAGGCTAAAATCAAGAGAAACTATTTTATCGTACAGTAAAGTTTATCTCCCTCTCTTTTCTTTTTAGGATATTTTCTTTTCTGGATGTCGTTACTTTGTGTCGCTGTGCTCAGGTCTCCAGGGTAAGAGTGGTTTACATGGTTACAGGGCAACTTCCTGACACTGATGATGACAACCTGTGTAGTAGGCTAACCATTTATTTTAGGTGTTACTTGTATGTTGCTGTGTTTCAAAGGATATTATTTCACCCATAGCATATCTGAATCCACGTAATTCTGTGATGGGATTGTACTATATATACTCGCTCTAACTTTTTGTAAGTCTTATTTGTATAATATAAACACAGGAGACATTTTAAATGAAAAAGTGTTAAACATGTGTTTCATTGTTTTTCTAGTTCGCTTTATTCAAACACACACAAAGCCATATATATATATAAAGGCTCTCAAGAGTCTTATTTTCATATTATTTCACCCTTATTCTTTCTTCAAAAGATGGTAGAATTAAAAAAAAAATTGCAGCGCAAACCAGACACTTTCCCAAAGTCAGTTTCTTTTTTTTTTTTTTTGTCTTTTGTCTTTTTTCCGTGTCCGGCAACGGATCGCAACCCTCAGTGTTGCCCCCGTACCGGACCGGGGACTGGCAACGGGATCGCAAGCCTCGGTGTTGCTCCCGCGCCTCGCTCAGCCAGTGAGCGGGAGCCGGTCTGTATGTGGGATCCGAACCCTCGGACGGGAGCGCCGCCGCGCTTCCCAAGCGGCGCACTATCCAGTGCGCCACCGGGCCGGCCCCCAAAGTCAGTTTCTACATTACACTTAATTACCCATTTTTGTCTGTTGCCATTGCTGTGACAAAAATGGTGAAACATCATAATTCTATTGGCTGCCACCAATATAAAGGATATAATCTCCATTGTGGGGAAATTGCTTTATGAACCATTTATAATCTCTTTTGTAATACAGATGTATAATAATTAACTTAATAAAATGAATGTATACTTATAGTCAGCAACTTTTTATAAACCAGACACCAGCTTTTTGTTTGTGTGTTCATTTGACAAACACTGAGTACCTACTATGGACCAGGTACAGTCCTAGGTGCTGGATATGTAATACAGTTGCATCGAAAAGTATTGTGTTTATCTGTGTAGATGGACCCAAGTGTCCCTTCAAATCATCACCATAATCGCCACCACCACCATGTTAAAAAAAAAAAAGAAAAGAAAAAACACAGAAAATTCACCTTGTCTTGCTAACTTTAAAGTAATTTATGCTTTCGAAAAGTTATACTAAACCTGTACCAACTATTTTGGAAATAATCAAAATAGTGTATATTTTGAAACAAAGTGGTATTTTGATGATTTCTTTTGTGATACTTCCTTCCCTGGTGCTTTTGTGGTCTCTCTAGACGTGGCCATTATACTTTCAAGTGAGTGGGTTTTCCTTTCTGTCTCCATATGAAGCTGAGGTCATCGTTGAGAAAGAAAATACCCAGACCAGTGTCTGAACTTGTTTAGTTGTGCACGGTCTCACTCCAGGAATTTTGATTAGAGTGAGTTTTAATTGTTTTCATTTGCAGGTTCCTCTTATGTGTTAACTTCAAAGAAAGGAAGGCACAATGCCAGTATTCATTAAAGGTGGATAGTTGGCACGTTGGTAGTTATCCTTATTGTCCTCTGTACTTGAAGTTTTTTGTTTTGTTTTGTTTTTTAATGCAGACTCCGGAGAGGAATCTGTCATTCCTAATTTTAGACTGAGTTCTGCATGTTTCCTGCTTGCTAAAGAAAGTAGTATAAGGAAGTGAGAAAAATCATACCAAATGAAAGGTATATTTAGCCCAAGAATCTATTAAACATATGATCTTTAAAAGTTTTATCTCTTGCCTCCCATGGCTAGCCATTAAAGAAACCATTGGAAAGATATGAAGCCACAAAACGAAAAGTAACATTGAACTTCTGAGAAAACTTTAGACATTTCTAGAATGATAACTGCTTGCTTACATTCATACCCCTGACATCTTTCTTGCTGATTACGTGACATTTACCCTGGGGCTTATGAATATACCCAGAATTTCTTTTTTAAAATTTCAGAGAATGGCTATAATTAATCTATTTAAAATCAGTATTGAGGTGTTTTTTTTTTTTAATTTATTGTAGTAAGAGATAATACTCTAAATTTATAACTCTAGGCAATATTAAGACTTTTGTTTATACTTTAAATTCAGTAGAAAAAACTTTTATAGCCTTTCTGATTAAAATACAGAATGAACCACAACAAATTCACTCCTATGGAAGTCATTTCATACCTAATCCTGAACACTGAAAAACTTAAGAAACTTTCTTGCCTCCCTTTAGCTTGTTGAAGAAATGTATGAGAAGGCTTAAATTATTTTTCTTTTCCTTTTTGTCTTTTTTACTGCCCGGTAACGGGATCGCAACCCTTGGTGTTGCGCCCACACCGTGCTCATCCAGTGAGCGGGAATCGGTCTCCACATGGGATCCGAACCCTCGGCGGGAGTGCCGCAGCGCTCCCAAGCGGCACACTCTCCAGTGCGCCACCGGCCGGCCCAAGGCTTAAATTTTTTACAGTCACCACTGAATCAAATTGAAGGGAAAGGGCTGGCCCGGTGGCGCACTGGATAGTGCGCCGCTTGGGAAGCGCGGCGGCACTCCCGCCCGAGGGTTCGGATCCCACATACAGACCGGTTCCCGCTCACTGGCTGGGTGAGGCGCGGGGGCAACACCGAGGGTTGCGATCCCGTTGCCGGTCCGGGTCCGGTACGGGGGCGACACTGAGGGTTGCGATCCGTTGCCGGACACGGAAAAAAGACAAAAAAAAAAAAAATTGAAGGGAAAGATGATCAATTGAAAAACATACCTGGGTGAGCGAATTGGTGATGAGGAAAACATTAAATATAGAGAAATTATACAGAGAAATGATAATGTCTTTTCTAAGCCCCAAATCACCATATAACAGTTTCTCTTTTGTTTCCCCCTGCCCTTCAGGGTCCTCCATATCACAGTTTCAAGTCCACCCAGATGATGCTTATGGATACCAAATACATATTCAACAGAGCAGTATTCAGAGTACTGTCCCCTTTCTTTGGTTTCACCCTTACCTTGTTCCCAATTTAGGGATAGAGCAAAGACTTGCTTTTCATCAACTGACCTCTGTTTCATTTTGGGATTAGAAGCTAGAATCATGCTACTTGAAAATACCTTCTGGCTATGATACTTATCACAACCTGTTTTCCCCAGCTTTCATATATTAAGGTCTTTCCCAGCTGCTAGTTTCTGTACCGACTCATATATGAGATAATCTAATTGGAGAATAAAGTATGGATCCAGGAATAAGGCATATCATTTGGGAGTTAGTGGTAGGAGCTGAGAGAGTTTTTGGTTCATTTCATTATTAGTTGGTTGAATTGTGAAGTTAACTATTGATGGCTTTTCCCCTCTATTTCAGCTTCTGCTCATTCTGTCTCTTTATCTTCAAAATAGGCCTGGAATGTACTGGCTCTAGATGGCAGTAACTGGCAGCGAATTGACCTCTTTGATTTCCAGAGGGATATTGAGGTATAATTATGTGGTGTGTGGCCCCATTTCTCTTTTTAGTAATTACAGCATGCAACAGCCATACAAATATCGTTTTCCCTGGAGAGAGAAACTATTATTTTCAGTGCATCTGAATTTCACAGGAGCCTCCAAAGTTCTAGAGTTTCTTCAGTTTCTGAGAATGAGTCTAATTATTTCACTGAAATAATATAAATTACATATTTAGTATTAATAGGATTAAATAGAACTATGTAGTCCTGAAATAAAAGACTACAGGTTTTTTGTTTTTGTAATTGAAATGTGAACCTATGTTTGCTCATTTTAAGGAAGTCACTTTATATTTGTTTATTGAAGAACAAGTACAGTTACAACTTGTTAGGGGCTGGTATTTGCATATATTATTGAGATATGTGTTTTGGTTCTTGGGGAGGCTGCTTACAGTTTTTACAGAGAATGCAAAACAAATCCAAAGTCATTTATTGAGTTGTTTTTGCTAGGGGGAGATTTTTTCCCCCCCTCTTCTCACTTCTTTCCCATATTTCATCCTTTTTTTTTTCTTTTTCCATATTTCATCTCTTAGTATATATAGCCTATTATCTCTAAAATGGAGAACCATAATGGATTAAGCTTAAATTATTTTAACATGAATTTGAACTCTGTGGTTCTTGGTTTTCTCATTAGGAGAGTGGAAATAAATAATAGCTTTTTCATAGTGTTATAAAGATTAAAAGGGAATCTTTTTTTTTTTTAAAGTTCCAATGGAAATAAATTCTCTTGAGGGACGGTATAAGAAATTTTTTAAAACTTCACATGATCTTTCCATTATCTTCAGATAGTACTTCTAAAATAATACCCACTGACATCATACTGGGTTTTTGTTTTTCACCATTCTCTAATCTTCATGGATGTAAATATTTAAAACAACACATCCCACAAAATTATTCACAGGCTTTTGTTAAATGTTCGTTGAGTCCTTGCTATATATATGCCGAGTTCTATAGTAAACAGCGTGGAAAGGATACAAAAATAAAGACAGTTATTGTCCTAAAGTAGCTGTGGTTTAACCCAGGTGGGCAGTATGCATGTCTATAGTGCCGTAAGAGAACTAAAGGCACTATCTCCTCAAATACAGAATATCTTACAAATTGAACAAAATAAATAAGAATATAGAGTTTAGGCATGTTTCAAGTAGATGGGTTAATCAGGAAACTTTCTCAGAGTAAGTTAGTTGAAATTTTCCTGTTTAATTAGGTCTTTATTATTTTTTTAAATTTTATCATCATACAATGTTAACTAGGTCTCCAAACCAAGTAGAAGCATTTCTCCTTGTTTATAAATTGTTAAAAATTCCCCAGACAAGCCAGCCACCCCCCCCAAAAAAAAAAATTATTAAAAATAAGGGTGTGTTCTTTTCAAAAGCAGTGAGGTAGGTTATCTTTTTGTTTACTTGTCTCTTTTTACAGGGCCGGGTAGTAGAGAATATTTCAAAACGATGTGGGGGTTTTTTACGAAAGTTAAGTCTTCGTGGGTGTCTTGGAGTAGGAGACAATGCATTAAGGTAAAAACATAACTGTTGATTAATGAACTTTCTTGGTTGAAGTAGAGAACAGCACCATCTCACCCAGAAAAGGCTTAAAATAGTTTTTAAATTTCTAAACTATTAAAAATTCAAACACACATACCTTGCTATAAAATATCCAAACACACATACCTTGCTATAAAAATATCCAGTAATAGGAAGTGTGATTTCATGAATAAACAAGAATAAATACTCTCTCGAAAAAGCCAAATGCTCCATCATAACAGTCCTTTTGGAGCTTTGAGTAAGTTTTTTTGTTTCTTAAACTTTTGTTTAATCAAAAATAAGATATTAACAACTTTGGTTAACACGAAGATTAGTGTTTAAGAGTTTGTGGATTTAAACAAAAACTTTATGGTTGAAAACTTATTTATTTATCATTGTGAACTGATTTGTATCATTCTGAAATGTTCTTATTCACTACACTTCTGACACCAAATGTGTGGGTTTTTTCCTTCACCCAATGACCAGTTATCCAATTCTGTGGACACCAACTGGTTTTTCTACATTTCAGTTCACTTCTGACACTACCCAGAGTTAGCTCAGATCCCACAGGTTAAGGGTTCAGTCCTACAAGACTGCCCCTACTTCAGATGCCAGTTGCAAGTCCCATGTTGCCACGGACTTTTGATCAATGGGCTATAAAACAGGGGTTCCCACGACCCCCTCCTCAGATTTGATGATTTGCTAGAATACATCATGGAACTCAGAAAAGTGCTCCAGTTACTATTACTTACTATTAAAGGATATTATAAAGGATACAAATGAGCAGCCAGATGAAGGAGTACATAGGGCAAGGTCTAAAGGGGTCCCAAGCACAGGAGCTTCTGTCCTTGTGGAGTTGGGGTGTGCCACCCTCTCAGCAAATGGTTGCATTCATCAGCACTGAAGCTCTGTGATCCCTGTCCTTTAAGGGTTTTTATGGAGGTTCCATCTGTCATGATTGAAGACTAAATAGCATAACAAAAGATACTCCCATCACTTCATCACTGAGGATTAAAAGGGTTTTACGAGCTCTGTGCCAGAAGCCAGGGATGAAAACTAAATACATATTTTTTATTACATCACAATGTCACAGTTACCAACAACCAATATTACCGATAATCATTTTATTTTATTTTATTTTTTAATGCCTGGAATTGTGCTCATTTCATTTGAAACCTTTTACTTTATTTTTTTCCTAAAGGACATTTGCACAGAACTGTAGGAACATTGAAGTGCTGAACCTAAATGGGTGTACAAAGACTACAGACGCGTAAGTACCATATGTCTTAGAAGGGCAAGTCATAGCCCCTTGTGTCTGGCTTGCTTTATTTATTTATTTTTGGTGCCTGGCCAGCTCAAGGATCAGAATCCTTGCCCTTGGTGTTACAACACTCCACTGTAACCAACTGAGCTGACCAGCCAGCCCCTACGTCTGGCTGTAAATGGAAGATACTAAATATATTTAACAAATTTCGTTTTGGTTATATGGAGGAGAGATATTTTTAAAGTAAATGAGAAAGCAATATGAAAGTAGAAATGGAATAAGAAACTTATTTTGAAATCCTGTCTTTGATATTTAAAGTGAAACTTCTAAATATTGTGGTCAATACAGTAGAGATACCAATAATATAGATTACTAAGATTATTTATATTTCAAGAAGATACTAATAGCTACCATTCAAAAGCCACAGTAAACAGACGGTTTTATAAAAAGAGTAAAATCTTACTGTAGGACTAAACAACTTATGATAATAAATACCAAAAGCAGTTATTAAGTGAAAATGACATACTAAATGTGTTGTGTCTGTATTGGTCACAAAATAAATTAAACATAATTCTTCATCAGTGAGGCTTACAATCACAGACATTAAACATAGAAGGTAGACGTAAAAAAAACTCAACCTAAGGGTACACATCAGCAATAACATGTATCAAATAACATTTATTTTATTTATTTGTTTGTTTGTTTAATTAATTAATTAATTGACTTGGTGTTGTCAGCACCACACTCACCCAGTGAGCTAACCAGCCATCCCTACATAGGGATCCGAACCCATGGCCTTGGTGTTATCAGCCCCGCACTCTACCGAGTGAGCCTCTGGCCAGCCCCTCAAATGACATTTAAATATTATGTAGGGAAATCGTTGCCTATTGTGAGGTGAAGCAAAGCCATTAAAGAAGTATGTTTACAGAGGGAGGGACCAGGGTTATTCAAGGAGTTCTGGTTTAAAAAGACCTCATGAAAAAGATGGGATCTTTGGAATTACGTGAATGAAGGAAAATAGAAGTCACTTCAAGCACAGGTATACATTGTTTAATTCCCTTCTTTGAGGTTACAACACTGTTAACCTTTAATATAAGAAAATGTCTGAAATATAAGGATTGTCATTGTTAATTAATTCTACTAAGTATTATTCCTGTGGATTGATTTGAAAACCTTTAATATGAGAAAGCTATACTAAGCCCTTCCCCACTGTTACTTTATACTAGTAGCCCTATGTATAAATTAGATAAATTACCATTTTTTTTGTTTCCTTTGAATATGTAGTTTTATGGAGATTAAGAATTTGAACACTTGTCATCTAGAAAAGTGACATATAATTTACACTTTATTCGAGGAATCTATCTTACCCTAAAGATACATTGGCAGAGATATGTATGTACAAGGCTATTAATTTTTACTGTTTATAATAATAAATACTGCCATATTTGTAATAGTTTATTTATTTTTTTTTTGGCAGCTGGCTGGTTCAGAGGTCCTCCCCTTGACCCTGGTGTGACCAACACCACACTGTAACCAACTGAGCTAACTGGCCAGCCTGCATTATTTGTAATAGTAAAAACAGAAAACCACCCAATATCTATCAGTAGAGAACTGGTTAAGTAAAAGTGTCGTCCTAGGGCTGGGTCTGGAGCTCACAGACCCTTCAAGCCTATTGTCCAGATTGGGTCACAAACCCTTCAAATGCAGGTGTATGAGCTAGGTAACTGGCAAAAAGATCCTTGAAGCCATAGGTTGGAGAGCATGGCCCCACCAGGTGAACACCCGAGGCAGTAAAAACGCAGGCCAAGTGGCAACCCCATGCATGCACACTAACTGCACTAAATGCACCGCACCACGCTCAACCAGACCTAAGGCGAGGGGGCCTGATTAAACTATTCTGTTTTCCCAACGTGAAAGTGATGAGGAAAACCTCTGTATGGAACTCTGGATTGGGGCTGGCCGGTTAGTTCACGGGAGAGCATGGTGCCAATAATACCAAGGTCAAGGGTTCAGATCCTCGTATCAGCCAGCCACAAAAAAAAAATTAAATTAAATAAAAAGGCATTCCAATAGTACGCTGAACTGATCTCCAAGACATATTGTTAAATGAAGAGAGCAAACTGCAGAGGAGTTTGTGTAATATGAGACCTTTTGTTGGGCCTGAAGACTTAATACAAATATATATTCATATTTACGTTTTTTTTAAGATGGAAACGTCAATCAAAAACTAATATAAATGGTTACTTATGGGAGGGAGAGAAGACACGAAGGGACAGGGATGAAAGGAAGAACTCTGAAGTATCTCGTTTAATAGTTTTACTTTAATAGCCCTGTGAATGTTTTACGTGATTAAAACACAAAAAGAAATCAAAGCAGTCCCTAAAAATTGAAAACAAAATAATACATATGAACCCAAATTGTATTATATTTCACATTAGAGCTGTCACCACACAGAAATTACTTCTACTGACTTTTGTCTTCTTATGAAAATTTTAAACATATATAGAAGTATATATGTACAAAATAGTAAAATGAACCCATCACCCAGCTTCAACTATTATTAATTTATACCCAGTTTTGTTTTATCTATAACCCCACTCACTTACCCCTCTCATTTTATCTTCCTAGACATCATATTATTTAATCTGTAAATTTTTTAGTATTCACTTATAGATAAAGGCTTTTTGTGTAAGTGCATTAACTTTATCATTCCTCTAAAAACTTAATAATATCTTCAAATCATCAAATATCCAGTTGTCAGTGTTCAGAATTCCATCTGTTCTAGTGACTTTATTTTTATTTTCTATTTTCTATTTTTTATTTTTTAAAAAGATGACCGGTAAGGGGATCTCAACCCTTGGCTTGGTGTTGTCAGCACCACGCTCAGCCAGTGAGCTAATCGGCCATCCCTATGTGGGATCCGAACCCGCGGCCGTGGCGTTGTCAGCACCACACTCTCCCGAGTGAGCCATGGGCCGGCCCTGTTCTAGTGACTTTAAAAACACAATATTTTAAACATAGCATAAAAGAAAAAAGATAAAAATTTTTAAAAACAAATAAGGAGACCTGTCTCTGACAATAACAGTAACTGCCTTACAGCCATAAGCAACTAGAAAACTGGACAAAACATAGAAAACAACCAGTTTAAGATATTGGACAACATGCAGCACAGAACTGGGAAACAAATGAAGTGAGGCGTTATGATTACTCTGATTTTTGGCTTTGAGGCATTTTTCAAACAGTGTCACAAAGAGAGGGAGCTCAAGCAGAGCACAAAGTTCCTGCTGATTTGAAGAGAAAGAGACCAGAGTTCAGGGAGATGAAAGTAGCTGGAATTTGTGGCTGGCCAAGAGAGAGCTACTCAAAAAAAGACTACAGAAATCTATTTAGATTTGGCTGAATAGTAAACTGTATGTGCACAGGTTGGGACCCCACAAATCTGAGCAAAGAACATCCAAAGAGGAAAGAACAGTTACTGGGAGCTATAAACTGAAGCACTGCCAGAGCTTAATAAAGCTGGGTGAAGTTTCAACCACCCAAAGTGGAGAAAACTCGATGAACACCTGGGATATTCAGTAGACTCCAGAAAGGTCAAACCTAGACCTGCTCTAAGAAAGGTTTGAAAAACAAACAAAACAAAAACTTCAAAAGAATCTAATTGATCTACAGCTAACTTAACTGCTTGACAAAACAAAACTCAACATTCTTTTTTTTTTTTTTTTTTGTCTTTTTGTCTTTTTCCGTGTCTGGCAACGGATCGCAACCCTCAGTGTTGCCCCCATACCGGACCGGATCACAACCCTCGGTGTCGCTCCCGCGCCTCGCTCAGCCAGTGAGCGGGAACCGGTCTGTATGTGGGATCCGAACCCTCGGGCGGGAGCGCCGCCGTGCTTCCCAAGCGGCGCACTATCCAGTGCGCCACCGGGCCGGCCCAAACTCAACATTCTTTAAAGAAAGACAACAAAATCCAGACACCTATCAATGTAGCATACAGAATATCCAACATTCAATCAAAAATTACATGACATGCAAAGAAGCAGGAAAATGTTACCCAGAACAAGAAGAAAAACCAGTGAATAAACAGAAACAGACTCAGAAATGACTGATTATAGAATTGACCAATAAAAAATTTAAAAACAATTACTAATATGCTCAAGAATTTAAAAGAAAATTTAATTGAGGACATTAAAAGGATGGGAAAAGATATACTGTTACGAACAACAGGAAAGTTGGAGTGCTTACTAATATCAGATGAAGTAAACTTTAGGAAAAAAATTTAGATGACAAAAGGTATTAAATAGTACCCTCCTCTTTTAATAATTGATAAAACAAATAGACCAAAAAGCAGTAAAACTGTAGAAGACTTGACCGACACTATCAACAAACTTGAAGTTATTGACATAGATTGCTACATCAGAAAGCACCAGATAAACATTTTTTTCAAGTACACTTGGAATGTTCAGTAAGACACCAAATAATGGGTCATAAAACAAATTTTAATAAATTTAGAAGGATTGAAATCATATTGAGTGTGTTCTATGGCCTTAACAGAATTAAAGTAGAAATCAATAAACAGATATCTGGAAAATGAGAAAATTAAATGACACATTTCTGAATAACCATGGGTCAAGGAATAAATTTCAAAGAAAGCTAGAAAATATGTTTCACTGAGCAAAAACAACATTTGAAATTTATGAACTGCAGCTAAGGTAGTGCTTAGAGTAAAATGTATACCTTTATATGTTTACATTAGCAAAGAACGGTTTAAAATCAAGGATGTAATCTTCCATTGAGAAAACAAGAAAAAGAGAAGTAAAGTAAGTCTTAGAAGAGCCTGGCCAGTTAGCTCAGTTGATTAAAGCATGGTGTTATAACACCAAGGTCAAGGGTTGGGACCCCTGTACTGGCCAGCCGCCAAATAAATGAACAAAACTAAGTAGGAGGAAGGAAATCATAAAGGTGATAACAGAAGTCAATGCTATAAAAATAATAGGCATAAAATAGAG